GTCCATATCTCATCTCATTCTGCGAAGATAAAACAGAATAATCATCACCCCAATTCTGTCAATAGCTTATTATCTTTCCTGATGCATTATATTTAAGCTGTTGGGAAAGGTAGACTGCTAAAAGACATAATTAATTCCTCAAAGACATACCCTCTTTTTAAAAAGTTGAAGAAGAGAATGTTATGAAAGTTAAGCAATTAAGACATGAGGATAATTTGGCTTTTCCTGAACCCTTTAAGGACGATGGACACAGTAAGAGCAACGGCCGTAATCAATCTGCACCTCAGGGAAACCTTTAGTGTCTTGTTTTGTTTAAAATAAAAAGGACAGAGAGCAGTTGCTGCTCATGATGCTTTTTTGCATTGAATCCATCCATCTTGCTTTGTTGTTGTTGTTATGGACAGTTTTTATTTATGCTTGCCCAAAAAATGCACAGAAAATAATATAAAAACAAACTATATTCAGGTCTCCACCCCTGTCTTTCCACACCTAGGAGCCCTTTAAACAAACTACACTGATCAAAACAGTGAAGGGAACACTTGATATTGGGAAACTTAAACCACTGTGAGCCCATTTCAATTCCTTTAATGCAAATGAAAGTGATTACAGTTGCACTGCAGTGGTAATCCCCTCCCAGAAAGAATGTTTTTTGCAGACGGCGTCCAGTGTCCGTTGCTCTCTCCTCATGGCTCCTGACAGATTTGTCTCTACTTTTGCTTTTTACTAGAGTCCTTATTGCTGCTGTCACATAAAGGTTTCCTGTGTCTCCTAACACAGTCGCATGAGTATACAGGAGATCCCGGAGAGTGGCCATTACATGAATTACATGAGCCGAGCTGGCTTTCTGGATCAACCCATCAGCAGGTCCTATTTTTGCTTCCTGTGCCTGTGTGAGGGGGAACAGCAGAAGCACTGCGAGAGCCCAACAAAACGACCTCCAGCGTGTGCATGTGTCTGACCAAATTGACAAAAAAATGTTAGTCTTCTCCCTCTGATTTTGAGTCGCTGCCTAAAATGAATCGTGTGTGACAGAATCCCTAAATGATCGTGAATGTTTTCAGATATTCTGGAAGGGAACTCTTGAATTTTTACACGTGACCATAAGGCACAAAGTAAATGAACACCTTTCCATTTTCTTACCTGCCTGTGCAATTTATGGTTGTGGGGAGCTGAAGCCTAGCCTAGAAATGCAATTTATAGAAAAATAAAGGGAAAAGACTAAACAATGATGCTGTAGATGAAAAACAAAAACCAAAAACAAATGCAATGCATCTCTAATAAATAAAAGTACAAATGCTTCAAAAATGCCAAATATTAGGACACTAGTTTAAACCTCTTTCAAAAGGTAAAAGGAGAAAGGTTGGTTGTGGTCTCATCAAGTTTTTGGAGTTAGTGAGATTTTGCAGCTCAGGGCAACCTGCCAAAAAGCGATCAGGTGTTTAACCACCAGTCCTAATACTGAAACTATCATTAGAGCTAAAAAAAAATCCCTTGAGATTAACTGCAGCCGTGTCCCCAGCTGTAGGTGTAATCATGTTGGCCGTTTGTGATAAAGTGCTGGATCCATAACACAAAGAGGGCAGGGTGGCGGGCGGGGGATTGTGTCTCCTATCAGATAGAACAGCCAGGTGATACACAGGGTGTACGAAAACCCCTGCTGCTGCAGAGGAACATGTTTATTGATGTGTCTGGTTTCCCCTGAGTGCACAATACGGTCGAAGGAAACAAGCACCAACATAAAGAAAGCTCAAAGGGCGGAGAGTAGATGAGCAAACAAGTAAAGGGGTTATGGACTATTGGGTTTACAGCTTCATAAGTAGAAGCTTCGGACTGAGAAAGAAAAACAAACACATCATTTTAAAAATAGCAATGCCGATTAAAGCACATTCTTCACAACTTGGGGAGAGAGATTGTTGCTCTTAATGGGCAGTCTGAGTCTGTGAGAAGGTAACACACTTAAATAACAAAAACCTGTCACACAAGATTTTAAATTCATTCTTTTTTTTCATATATGCTGTCTTGAATAGGCTCTGCCATGTGCAGAATGAACGACTAGCCAAAGATAGCATTTTCACTCTGGGTAACTACAGGAAGACACTTTGCATGCAGCGGCTGTTTTATGACTGAAAAGGAAAAAGAACGGATGTGGACAGTTTCTTTCATGAGTGGCCTTCTGTGCTTGCTGAGAAGCTGTGTCGCTTGTGTGTGGCACCGTCATTAGACCTGAGTGGATTTGAACTTGCAGCTATCTTTGAGCAGCAGCAAGGCTTTATGTATCCAGCAGGAGATACCCATTAATAGGTTGTCCTGACAGAAGGACAAAAGAATGTTCAGAATGAACATGCTTACACAAAAGTGCCTTTTAACTCAGGAAGGAGGTACAGTATCAACGTGGGAAGGGTCGACTAAAAATTGTGTTGGACGCTCAAAAACATCTCTCTGTGAGGGGCAAATTTAGGCAAGATCATAATCTTCCCTCATTCCCTGACTTAATCAGAAATAAAATGTGGCAACACCCTATCATACGGTGGTCTAACTGTACGTTATAGCAGTACAAATAACTGGCCCCATATTCCTGCAGACAACAAAAACTCTGAGATTTTAGATGTGTGTGCCAGGTAAGTTCCCCATCAGTGGGGTCATGACACAACAATGATGCTGTAGTATTTCTCATGGATGCTTCATCACTGAATGTGTGTAAAAAACTTGAATAAAATTTTATTAGATTGTCAGTTTTTAGAGAATTAACACGTACTTCATTAAAGGAAGATAAAGGCTGAGGTTGTTCAGACAGAATTTATTCATACAGTCTCTGTATTAGTTACACATCATTATTATCAAATCAGCCAATCATGTGGCTGCAACTCAGAGCTATTAGGCTTTAAGGCATCGTCAAAGAGACCTGCTGAAATTCAAAGTGAGCATCAGAATGGGGGAGAAAGGTGACTAAAGTGTCTTTGAATGTGGCATGGTTGTTTCTTGAGTATTTCAGAAATTGCTGATCTGCTGGGAGTTTCCCACACAAACCTCTCTGGGGTTTATAAAGAATTGTTTGAAAAAGGGAAAATATCAGTTTTATGGGTTAAAATGCCTTTTTGTTGTCAGAGGTCAGTGTGAAAATGGCTGGCCTGATTTGAGCTGATAGGAAGGCAAGAGTAACTCAAATAACCACTGATTAAAACCAAAGTGTGCAGAAGAGCGTCTCTGAATGTACAAAACATCAAACGCTGAAGCAGTTGACAGCAGCAGGAGACTGCACTGCTACTCGTGTCACAAAAGCTCCCCAATATTAGACAATATAAGACTGGAGAACTATTATCTGGTCTGATGAATCTCCATTTCTGCTTCCACATTTGGATGGCAGGGTCACAATATAGATCTGTCCTGTCTTGTATCAATGATTCGGGGTGGTGTAAAGGTGTGGGGGGTAATTTTCTTGTCACACTTTGGCTTCTTAGTACCACATGGCCACAGTTTAAATGCTTAAATTTGTTGCTGACCATGTCCAGTATTGTTCATGCTGTGTACCCATCTTCTGATGGCTGGAGCAGGATAACACATCAGAAAGCTCACATCATGTCAAACTGGCTTCTTAATCATGACAATCAGATCATTGTACTGAAATGGCCTCCACAGTTTCCAGCTCTCAATCCAGTAGAGCACCTTTTGGATGGATGTGCAGCCAGCAAATCAGCAACCCTGTGATGCTGTCATGTTAACACTGACCAAAATCTCGGATTGTTTTGAGCACTCTGTTGAATATGTGCCATGAAGAATTAAGGGAATTTAGAAGGCAAAAAGAGGGTCCATGCAAGGTCCTCCTAACAAAGTGTCCGGTCAAGGTATAGCTACTTGTGTGGAAATGAAAGAGCAGCACTTGTTTTTGAGCAAGGCACTAAAACCCTGCTGTTTGCTCAGAGACCATCATTCAGGTTGAACTCAATGAATCTAATCTGATCTGAATAAATAAAGGTCCGGAGGTTAATCTTTCCTGCATGTGGTGGATTAACTTCTTATCTCTCAGCTCAGTCCATCAAATGAAACAACAGTCAAAGTCGCTGCGTCCTTGCTATAATGCTGTTGTCCCTTATCACCTGAAATCCTATCATGCTTCTCTGTGGCACTTCAAACACATTTATAAACATATGGACACGCATGTGCTACACGGGGACATCTCCCCAACTCGCACAGGCTGTAGAAACCCCTAGGGAGCGTGAATTTGCAGTCAAACTGAAATTTTAACCTGACCTCATCACTGCAGGAAAAGCAGTGGCAGTAAGGATTCTTCCATTCACCCTGGATCAAGGCCTGAGACTTTTCTCTAATTGCCCTCGATAACAATCGTCATCTGAAATCAGTGACTAATGTCTGTTTGTGCTGATTTTTTGGTTTGCTGCTGATGGTAAAAAAGGTGGGGCAATCACCAAATTCACCCAAACATCCATATTTCAGTCTGCTCCAAATGATGGATTGTCTTATCAACAGACTCTAATATGACACCTGTATATACGCAGAATTTGCTGCTCCCCCACCATAATAATACTGCTCCCTGTCAGAAGACATTTTAAAGCTTTTTTGTAGTTGGGTATAACTGAGATTTTAGAAATTGCACGTTTTTGATGCCAAATCATTGAAAAAAAATGCACTTTAACTTTTTAATAAATGTCTCTGTGCGGGAAATGTAGCAAGCCTGGTGAATATTTCAATAAATCCAAATAAATAAAGAAATTTTTGAGATTTTCTCTCATGTGTTGACATGTAGCTCAGTGGGGCTAAAGGCGTGCACTGGGGGACCCGTGATTATTTTTAAACTTCTGGTAATGCTGCTAACTCCTGGTGCCTCAGAGGAATAAATTGAGAAATAAATTGAGGGCAGCTGATTAACTGGCCTCTATACGGTCACGTGATGTTCTCTGTATAACGCTTTCATTTATTTTTGGTGTGGTAGGTTTATGAAGCATGTGTATGTCATGACTAGAAAATATGTAATGCACTTAGCTCCTGCGCACTGGAGCACTAGAGACCCCCCCACCTAACCACTCCTTTGTGTTTTGATGCTCAGCGCTCACACCTGAAGTGACCGGCAGGAAGTGAAGATCGGAGCTGAGAGCGCACAGCTCTTCCCATCCTGCTACGTCTGTGTACCGATAGATGGGCACATTTGGAGAACGAGACGGATAGAAACATCCGCAGGGAGGGGGGATGCGCGCATGACAGCCTTTGGACGTTTCCATTTGTATCAGCCGAGCAGGGAATTGAATCTTTCCGCTGGGTGCTGCGTTAAAAAAACAAAAAAACACTCGCGACTGGTGAATTAAACATTTGCACATCTCGTCCGTCTCCGGCGATCGTCACCGCACCATGCGAGCAGGAGAGACGCGCCCTGTGCCATGCTGAACAACTCTCCGACTCTCCTGCTGGCTCTGACCGCGGTGGCCGCACTTCTTCCGCGATGTCAAGGCTGGAGCGACGAGGACCTCCTCCTGCCGCCCATCAACTCCTCCAACAGGTTCCTGGCGAACCTGGAGGTGGACGTGCGCTTCTCCAAAAGGTCTGTGGAGGAGAGCGACGCCTCGCCCGACGCCTCCTCCATGCAGAGTCTGTCCCAGTGCAACGTGAGCGTCCAGAGACTCCTGCCCACGTCGCTGGTGGCCCGCTGGGACAGCAGCTTCGGCTTCCAGTGTGATGTTATCATCTACACCACCAACAACCACGGCAGGGCTTTTTTCGCCGCGTCTTTCAACAGGGTGATCTCGCCCGTTGTCATCGAGCACCTCGGGGTCACCGGGGGTCAGCAGGAGTTGCGCTTGTGCGTGGGCTGCGGGATGTCCCGGTACCGGAAGTTCGGTCAGGGTAGGTCAAGGGGCCAGCAGACCGGGGATCAAGTCACTTTCTGCTGCGTGGATTTCAGCCTCGACGAGCTGAAGGGGGACAAAAGTTGGAGGCTGAACAGAAAACCCATCGAGTCGACACTTGTGGCTTGTTTTATGACTCTGGTTATCATTGTGTGGAGTGTTGCTGCTCTCATATGGCCAGTGCCGATCATTGCAGGATTTCTGCCTAATGGGATGGAGCAGAGGAGACCCAGATAACTGAAATATCCTTCATTATATTTATAGCCTGTGCTGCCTATACTATAATTGTAGCCATCGAACTGTATGAATGAATGATTGCGGAGGAACTTTTTGATCAAATGCTTTAATCTAGGGTGTTCTTAGACCTCCTTTTCCTCCTGTTTAGGACAACCGAGGTAAAGTATAAAGGGTTATTATATACTAGCCAATATTAATCTATACTGGGACCAACACCAATGTGTTTTGTATACCCTTGTAGGCCTTCCTATGTCTGCGTAAACTGTGCAAAACTTTTCTCTTTAAACAGTGTTTGTATAGTTTTTAATCTTTCTAGAAAGTTTTTGCCTTATTCTATGTGTAGGACTTTTGCACTGAAAACTGAACTTCAAAGCGTGCCGTCTCATACACTATATAACCAACAGTCATGCGCATTCAGAAGTCAATGTGATAGTTTTTTGCCCCCAGATTAAGATCCTTTAAAAACATAGTTGTTGTTTATGATTGGCATAGAGAGGGATTGAGTACTTATATTGTTAGATTTCTTATGTCAAGTTGAATAAAAGTGGTTATTTGTATTCATGTTCTAAAGATTTAAGTAAAAATAAAACATATATAGGCCATACCAGATTTTCTCTGACCTGTTCTCTGCAGTCACATTTACTTCACACACACACAAGCACTCACGTTAAATGTGAATGGATCATGATTTTACCTCTGGATCTGGATCCTGTATGTTTATGCTCACTTTTGCTTAAAATGCAGGAACGTGTGTGATTGAACTTAGATTTTGTATGGGGTGATTTTAAGATCAAACTTTTAGGAAGCCACAGTCACAATGTCATGCATCCAGAGCCTTGTAAATGATATTACTAGAATATGCTGTTTGCTCATGTAGTCAACCCTTTTCGCCTTTGCAAACTTCAATTCAGTTGTTTACACACGTTACCTTCAAAAGCACTAATTCGAAGGATTACCTATGCTAGTGTCTAAGAAGAATTCAGAATGAATAATCACAGAATTCAATATAATGCAATCATTTTAGGGTGGAACCTTTATTTATCAAACCTGAGGCGAAATTTAAGTCATTTTGACAATTTGTTGCAAAGCAGATAAGAGGAGAAACATGCAACACATCGTTTCAGTCTCTTAATCACAACAACAGTCGCCTAAAGGTGCTTTATGTTGTCAGGTAGACCCTACAATAATATATACAGAGAAAAACCCAACAATCATATGACCCCTATGAGCGAGCAGTTGGGCGATAGTGGAAAGGAAAAACTCCCTGTTAACAGGAAGAAACCTCCGGCAGAACCAGGCTCAGGGACGGACGGCGATCTGCAGCCAATATCTCTGTCCTTTCTCTCTTCATCCGCCTCACTTGTCCTTTGCACTGACAGTCACATACAAACATGTTGTATTCACCTAGAAAATAACAAAAATATAATCTTACAACTTTTAAAAATATCATCAGTGAATGTGGACGAAACAGATGCGACGTTGTCTTATTCATTTTGTTGAGTCTGACACTCCTTCCTGCTTCTTTTTGCTCGCTCGCTCGCTTTACTGTTATCATCCTGCTCTCTCTTTTTCGCTCACTCTGTCCTCCTCTCTCATTCTCATAATTATAACCACTATTAATATAGTTATTTTTCAGGGTGTTATGATGAAATTTATGGCTTTTGCAAATGTTTCTTCTTTTTACCTGTCCTTCCTGATGAGTGTCTGGATTAATTTCTGTGGAAAATGTGCTGTAACTTCGAATAGAATGTATTAGAATATTGTTGCACGCATAAATTATGAGCAAAAGCAGGTTCAGGGAGCCCTAAGTAGCTATAACCTGCTTTAAATATTGTCCAGTAATGTAATCAGCATCAACAAATACACACATAAATGAGTAAAGGCATTTCTCTGCCACTCCTTTCTAGGGTGAACAAATCCCATCAAAGTCTGTGTTTTTTGAGGGACAAAGTGAGACGTCAACAATGCTGGGAAGTAGTGTGAAAGTTTCATAGCAAACTAAAAACTAAAAATACAACAAACAGTTTAAACTATAACTAGATTGCCATTTACGACACAAAGGCCAAATATACTTCCAAGTGTTTTGTGCCAATGTAAAATGTGGGACACTGTAAGAAAATGCTATGCAGTCCCACATTAGGACGGACATCTGGTCACCCTACTCTTTGCTGAAATAACAATTTGTAGACTTATTTGTTGTCTCACAGATGCTGGAGACAAAAGGAGGTGTTACCACATAAAGTGCAAATCACCCTTTTTGTTCTGTGTATCATGAGAACCAGCAGCATGTGCAAACATGGGGTTGTCTGATTGCTGTTAGTCACACATCAGAGGGCGCTGTGGAGCTCTGTTGATATTACACATTTGACCAGACAAGCTGTCCATTTATCAGTAGTTAGATTGAGAAAAAGACACAAAACTTTTAGTAGAGGAAGTATTTTGTAATTGTTCTGGGTTGGAGTAGCTTTTTTTATTACAAAAAAAAGTGCACGCTTATTAAAACGCTGACAGGTGACCTGTTGGAAACACAAAAAGACTGCTTGTCTTTTACAAGATACAGGCAACATCTGGCATTTTTATTTCAGTGATACGCCAGTATCATTCAAAATACAGTTATGGATGCAGAATATGTCTTCAGTTGTTTTTGTGGCCTTAATAAAGGCTGCATCATTGAAGCACTGTAAATGACTTTAGTCTTTTCTCTGCTCATAACTCACAAAAACTATCTTTGGTTCAAATTCACAATTTAAATACAAGCGACATTTGGTGGTGTTCATTTGAAATTTATTGATACTTTTTTTTTTTTTTTAAATCAACATTTTTTACTAAAATCCCACTGATGACTGTAAGGACAAAATACCCCGTACTGTCTGACAACCAACCCCACTATGGGGCAACTGACATCAATGTTTGCTTAGTAAATCCTTATTAAAAATCTCTTTTCACTCAACCCAGTGATGTATCAATACATGATTTAAAAAGCAAATCTAAAATTACAATAGTGATGTTTGCTTTTAAAAGATACAGGGAAAGTCTGGCCTAATTACATCTTGTTAAAATGATTTTAAAAAATGAAAAGAATAATGAAGCAATGATTATTGAAACATGCTCAAAAGATCAGAATGTCATTAAAGAGTAACAAGGGTGCGACTAAAAAAAATCCTAGGTCACACTCTGAAAGTCTCTATGTGACCTATCTTGACCTAAACAAGGTGCTGCTTAGAGTAGCCGAACGCGCTGCTGAAGCACCGCAGTTCCGACTCCGCGCTGTTCAATTTATTTGTGTGTCACGTGCATCTCTGCACAGATGAGGAGAAAGGGGAAATGACATAGGGAATTCTTCCCACAATAACACAATAGTGACACCTGCACATTCCGCCTATGTGCTAACGTTCTGTCCAAAAGATTGGCGCACTGATGTGACCAGCCACACAAGTGAAAAAAAAACAGTCTCCACAAAGTCTCTGTGTGGTCAACAACAGACACACATTATGCCCATATCACGGTCTAAACCAATCAAAAATAGTCAAGGGAGGAACCTATCAGATGCCCATGCCCAAGGTAAGATGTTCAGATATTGAGATGTTCAGTTCGAAGCCTTTGAGGCATTTTTAATTTAGACTTTCTTTTTATTTTATATATCTTGAGATATTTTAAGTTTAAATTTCAGCTCAGTGAAGCACTTTAAGCACAAGAACTTTTTTTCCGATTATAAGGCGCACTTAAAATCCTTTCATTTTCTTAAAAATGTGCCTTATGTATGAAATCTGGTTGTGCTTACTGCAAACTGATTTTATGTGGTACACGGTG